GTAACCCTCATCCTCCTTATATGCAGAATGTAAACTGTCTAACTTGGCTTTATAAAGCAAGTTAGAACGTCACAACATAATACCAATGCTCTCTTGTATATGATTTAAAAATTATGTATTTTGTTCTGATAAGAACACATTCGATCCCCAAACTCCTGAACAATACTTCTTATATACCTCTTTTAGAGATGATAAAAAAAAATTTAATTATATGTTAGATTGATCAACTCCAATTCTACTAATAACATTCGCTATACTACTAGCAATTCAGATCACCTCGCGCGATCATCCATTTTCAAGATTTAGTACCCTCTCTATTGGATATACATAAATCTCCTCTATTAGGATCCTCTTCGGCTCTTACTCCTCGCTTGTCTCCTTTTTGAGATCAACTGAAGTTGTGTTGGCCCCGATATGCGATGACCTATCACGTACACCTAAATCCTTCCTTGACTTATACTTTTAAAGTAACACCAAACGAACCTAAACCATCCATCCCTAACTTTGCCTTCTGGCAACGAAATTGATAACGTACTCCTTTACTCCTTTGGGTCTTTATCGTTTTCGCCTTGGACCCATCCTTTTCCTAGTGCCAACTATTCTACGACTATAAAATATAATTGACATCAGCTCCTCCTAACAAACCGTAAATAGAGTACAACGAATCCTAATACGGGCTCAAAGTTTTAAGAGACGCAACGCGGAAGTCACACAACGAAAGACACTCCTAAGGACACTTGAACCTAGAGTGCTCTGATACCAACTGTAATACCCCCGGATTTCTGAATGCAGGTTGGCCAGGCCCACGCTCGAATACCCGAGGATATCAAAACAAATTGATAATAAACGAACACAGAGTACAAAAGAATAAAGAAGAATAAATAAAATGCTGACAAGAAACTAAAATGATAATCTAATAATAAACCTCATTATATATTTTCATTAATTAATAAACTCTTTTGATACAACTGTTCCTCCAAAATACAACTCGGGAATCCATACTGTGTGGACCCCTAGAAAATCCAAACTAAACAAATGACAGTAATCTGAAACAGGAAACTGAATCATAAAGGAACTCCTATGTAGCATCGAAAGAATGAAGTAGACTGATCCCCGCTCAGCATGAACAACCTCTACTCGTGACGAACACCTGAAAAATAATGGTGGGTCAGGCCCACAAACAAGTTCTACTCTACTACAGTCCAAGCAGAGATCCGATACACGTATACATCCTAGTCAATCCAACAGTAACTAGTAGTCCGTATATATATATATATATATACACACACTAAAGGAACCTCACTAGACTATAGGGTTGTCTCAACCTGAATAGTAGGCAACATGCAAAACGCACATATAGTAGCCATGAGTACCTATACCTACCAGGGTACACAACTACACTATATCTAGCTACACATCCCTGGTGATATACGCGCCCTAACCATTGATCCTGAGACTCAAGCTCATATCATGGCACCATACTTATATATATATAATCTAGTAACCATCCTATCCAATATAAATTAATCCTCCATAAGTCATTCAACTTGTTCAGCTGACCTGACTTGAATATAAGTAGGACTTAACATTTTAGTTAATCCATTCCCTTATATAATAAATTAATCCTCCATAAGTCATTCAACTTGTTCAGCTGACCTGACTTAAATATAAGTAGGACTTAACATTTTAGTTAATCCATTCCCTTATATAAAATAGGTAGGACTTAACTGATAAGTTAATCCATCCCTAGAATGCCATCGTCCCATACCGGTGTATTAAACCACACAATTCAATAATTGATGTAACAATTAAGGAAAATACATCAAATATTACATAAATAACTATGATAAATATGATATCAAGTTATCACATAATATGAATGACTTATTATTTCTTTAAACTTCCTATATCATATATCCTACACAAACTGAATCTTATACATGATGATATTTTATTATACCGTTAAATAAGGATTCTCTATATCCAATTCATCCTATACATTTAATCTCAATTGCTAAAATATTTTAAAAGATTAAATCCATTCGTTTGTTTAAAACATTCAAATAGCAAGTATCATTATGATTGAGTCTATTTAAATTTATTAAAACCCAAACCCAGTCCCTATTTAATGTTCGGGAATCCTAAGCATGTTTCTACGTTCCATCATTCCATAGATATGAAAAATACATAATTTAAACATGTAAAAATTCACATAAGAAATCAAATCAAAATCATACATTTTATCAATTCATAACACAAGAACAGATATGAACCAATTTCATTAAACCTATGTTCTAACCCAATTAAACATGCATAATTATTTAATTTTATATGTTTAATAAATTCTGGAATTTCCTAGGCATGTACAGAAACACGAATCAAAGGGAAAGAGATAGAAGAAGAACTTGCCTTAAACTTTCGGATCGAAAGTTAAACTTTTTCTTCCTTAATCTTCTCTTTATAGGATTTTTCTCCTCATTCCTTCCTTTTCCTCCTTCCCTCTCTAACACTATCTTTCCAGTATATATCACGTGAATATTTCTAACCCCCTTTTACAACCTATAGCTATATATTTATAGGCTAAATAAAATAACCCTAACCCTTTTCCCAATCCAAGTCAACTAAAAAAAAATGAAAATAAAAATATTAAAAAAATAAGCAAAATATGTTACGTATATAATTTATGTATATGTTTATTAAATAAATAAATTATAAACATTCCATTATTTATTAATGGATTATCCAATAATACTTAAGTTACCATAATATTATAAAGTAACTTTAAATATAATACGTATCAAATCTATGTATATTTTTATTATTTAAATATAAAACATATACATCAGATAAAATATTACTACCCAGGTTACCATAAAAGTAATTAATAAATTACTTTCCCTTTTATATATATTAAAAAGGTAAGAAAAATATGTTACGTATATAATTTATGTATATTTTTATTAAATAAATAAATTATACACATCCCATTATTTGTTAATGGATTATCCAATAATACTTAAGTTACCATAATATTATAAAGTAATTTAAAACATAATACGTATCAAATTTATATATATTTTTATTATTTAAATATAAAACATATACTTCAGATTAAATATTACTACCCAAGTTACCATAAAAGTAATTAATAAATTACTTTCCCTTTCATATATATTAAAAAGATAAGTAAAATATGTTACGTATATAATTTATATATATCTTTATTAAATAAATAAATTATACACATTTCATTATTTACTAATGGATTATCCAATAATCCTTCAGTTACTATAATATTATAAAGTAACTTAAAACATAACACGTATCAAATCTATGTATATTTTTATTATTTAAATATAAAACATATACATCAGATTAAATATTATTACCTAAGTTACCATAAAAGTAATTAATATATTACTTTCCCTTTTATATATATGTATATAATATATATCTATATATATACATGCACAACTATCCATGGGCAATAATGCATACACATCCAACCTCCTATCCAAGTAGTCCATAGGACCCAATTAGTTGGCCCATTACTACTAACCATAACCATAAAAGAAAAATAAAATAAAATAATAAAAGAAAAGAAAACATTTAATTTACAATTAATCAAAATACCATTTAAGTACGTAATCTAATTAAACAATTAACACATAGACAAATACAAATAATACATAGACACATAATCAAATAATCAAGTAATACCTAATTCAATTAAACACATAAACAATTAGTCAAATAATCAATTAAATAATTAAAAATATAATTAAAACAAATAAATAAATACCGGGACTATCCTTTTAAAATTAGGGGTATTACAGGTGTCGTTCACTGACAGCTACTGGGATGGTCAATAATTGTTATTTGACATGTTGTATTGCCTGATTTTATTATTGGCCTTTTTTTTTGTGGGCGGGTGAAGTCATTGATTAGCTATCACAACGGTTACGGAGTGTGTGGGCGGGTAATTAGCACTGTCAGCTACTACAACGTTTTTCATGTCACGGTATCTCGCATCGCCTGGGGTAAGGATTTTTGGATTTTGTTTTACCACTTTTGAGGTTTTCGGGTATGCGAAAATGGTTGGATCTGAATTTCAGGATGAAATTCTTTTTAAGTGGTGGAGAATACAACAACCCGAATTTTTAAGAGCTGAAATTTAATTTATTCCATGATTTTTTAGTTGTTAAGATTTGACTATTTAAATTTTAATTTGGAGATGTAGTGATTTACCCAATTGAGAACTTTTGTGGGTTTTGATTAATTGCTGCATGTATATGATTTATATATATATATTGTGCATTGGAGATGCTGCCAGCAACCGAGATTTGGGAACGAAATAAAGTGGGTTTTGATTCGATGACAAGTGGTGGAGGTTATTGTACATTTGTATGTATAAATGATACACTTATATTTTGGTTTGATAATGGGAAAAAGGTGAGCAGTAGCCGAGATTTTGAAGGGGGAAAAAAAAAAAAAGGATTTGGTATTGTGACAGTGGGCGTGTCCCACTTAAGAGGATTAATGGGTTAAATTATATATATATATATATATATATATATATATATATATATAGCAATTGATGGAGGAGATTGGAGCATCAGCCGAAATAGAGGGAAAAAAATGGGTGAGATGAATGAAATTTGTAATGGTGATGATGGCTTGGTACAGGTCCCACTAATGTGACTTTTGCCATATTCTCATTTGATGTGTTTTGTTTTTTTTTCTTTTCTGCACATGGGTTGTTATGATCAGATGGAGGGAAGGTGATACGAAAGGAAAAGATGAAGATTAGGTTAAGTAAGAAAATTGGTGTGATGGCAGGTCCAACTTGGATGCTTTTTAGCAAACTTTTTGACTTTGAAATTCATATGGCTGGGCATTGTTGTTTATTGAGAGACATTGTATCTAGATATTTGATATTTGATATTTTTTGGCTGATTAGAGTGTTAGTGGACTTGGCTTATATATTGGGTGCTTGTTCTTGGTAAGTATAACAAGGCAGAAGAAATAAATTGAGAAAAGAAAATTAGAGTGCACAGACAGAGGGATACAAGATTTCAGCGAGGGCGGAGAGTTTGGATGTTGGTGCTCAGATGAATTTTTATTTTACAGAGTAGGGATCATCATACCTTGAGTGGCTTGGATGATTTTATTTCAAATATTTTGTTGATTGTTATTTTGCTAAAATTGCATATATGTATTTTGTTTAAAAGCATATATATATATATATTTTTGTGAAGAAAATTTATCATGAAACTCTTTGAAATCCTTGTTATGGTTTTTCCTACTGTCTCACCTCCCTACAGTTTCAGGTACCGAGGATGAACTTGGATTCATAGTAGCGGGCTTAAGTGGAAGTAGAAGAGTTGGTGCTGAGGATTAAATTATTTATTTTAGAGATGTTGTATTAATTATTTGAGGAAATTGATTCTGTATCAATAAAATGATATTTTATTTATTTGGAGATCCTGGGAGTGTAAATTGAAGTATTTTGATTTGAATAAATCGAGGATTTTATTTAGAAAAATTCGGGGCGTGACAACGAAGATGATGAAGATGAACATCAATACTATAGTCTCCATCTCCAAGCAAAACCCAAGATCTTCAATGATTGAAATAGGGTTTTTAGAGAGTGAAAGTCTTCAAAGCTTGGCCTCTCATCAACTCCAATCCACATCGTCATCCAAATGAGGCTTAATCCTCCATATATGCTCGATTTTTGGCTCTAAGATGGTCAGAACTCAGCCCAAGGATCTTACATTTTGTGCATAGCTGGAGTTGGGTCGAATAGAACTTTAGATATGACTTAATAAAGAACTGTCGTTATTTATGATCCTATTTTTTCCACGACCGATCCTATTTTTCCCACTATCGATCCTATTTTTACCACAACCGATCCTATTTTTAAGATCGATCATACTTTATTAACGATCGATCCTATTTTCACGATTGTTTTTACAATCGATCCTAATTCTGCTTTTGGATTTTTGGTGTTTTCTTTCTTCGTTGCAGTTTGATTGACTCCAAAAAGACTTTAATGTACTGGATTTAGCATGTTTAAGCCTTACTAACCTGAAATTGACAATAAAACAAATTATGACTAAAACAGGAAAATAAAGATAGATAAAGGTTCTATTATACCCAAGCTTAGGGACTGAAATGTGCATATCTTAACACTTAACAAAGTTTAGAATCAAACCCGAGCTCAAACCCAAAACTCAAAAATGGGAAAAACGAAAATCTAATTAGATGAAAAGCAAGGCCGTACCAAGGCCATCACGAAACCGTCCTACGGCAAAGGCCAAATCAAAGTGGAAGAAGATCAAATGGAGGAGAGAAGGACAACATCTAAAAAGAAAGAAAAAATCTGCAAAGAGGGAGAGAAATCTGATTTCTCTCTTTCTCCTCTCTCTTTTATACTTTCCAAAAATATTGCCCGAGTGGGCCTTACGGGATCCTAAAAAGTGAAAGTCATCGAAACGAGCTTAAATGGAATAAAACCGTAAATGTAAAAGCACCGATATAAAAAATAATGAATAACAAAAGAAATGACTTCGAAAAATAAGTCCCGAGTAGAAAAAACCGTCCCGGATCCACACGGTAATTCCTGGGGTCAAAAACCCTAAAACAGGGGAAAAGGTCCAAAATGTATTTCTTAGATCCCATGGCTCGACGAAATGCTAAAAGGAATCCCGTACAAGTATCTTGCCCAAAAATAACACACTTTGCCATAACTCTCTTTAATTGCACAAAGGTCCCCCCACTAAAAATATCTTAAAACCTAATCGCACTATTTCCCCAGAATAAAAATATCTCCAAAAGATAAGCGTACTAAAATCCAAAAAAAAAAATCTCCAAAATATGATTGCACTAAAATCCCAAAATAAAAATATCTCCAAAAGATATTTGCACAAAGACCCCCAAAATTGGAAATGTCAACCAAAAGAAATCGCAACAATACCCCTAAGCACCAAAAGGTAAAGTATAAACAAATACAACACAAATCATAAGTCTAAAATAAAAGAAGTGTTGGGAACTATTCCCAAGCACTTGACTTGATCCGATCTGACTAGATCCATTCCCAAAAATAATAAACGGAAAAAGAAAATACTGAAAAATGAAAAAGGGATAGTCTTCACAACCTACACACCTTAAAGGGATTTCATCCCCAAAATCAAGGCACGTCCCAAGGAGAACCAAACTAAGGTGTTGACACAACTAACATCAAAGGGAAGCATCACCAAAAAGGGATCAAAACACTCCTTAAGGATAATCACTAAAAGAACTCTAAGAACCAACACATCGAATCAAAACACCTAGCTAATGATAACATGGTAGCATGACTAGTGACTAAAACTCATCCACAACGTACTCAAATGCATGGTAGCATTGACAGTGATTGGTACTCGCCCACACATATTAGTCAGTAAGGTAGCATTGCAGACAACTAGCACCTGCCTACGGCATATAACTTGGTACGATAGCATTGACAATAAATAGCACTAGTTCATGACATACCCCCACCTAATCTAACAATGAAATCTCTCGATACAAATGACATCAATGTCGTAAATAATCATTACCAAAAGCATTGCGATAACCAGGTATTCTGTGAGAGTTAGGATATTGTCCAAATACATTCGGCCGGACCATCTTGGCCAATCCCAAAAATTTAACAACAATGTCATAGGCATTGTCACGCTTAAGGCCTCAATCCTTAATACAAAGAAAACTAACAACTCATAATTCACAAAACCTTTAAATCAAGTCATTTTAATCAAATCAAGGACTCTTCGAAACACCACTATCAAATGACTCCCAATCATAAATTCAAATCCCGACAAGTCTATGCTCTCAAGCCTTAATGGATCGACTCCACAAAATTACAGAACTTTAAAGTCTCCCAAGTCACAACGATCCTCACCACAAGACATTAATATTATATCTCGAATTTATCCTTTAAACAAAATCTCCCCACAAAAGAAACAAAATGAGACATCATCATCACAAAATGGTCAACTATCCCCAATACAACCAACCCCTAGCAAATCCAAAAAAAAATACAAACGTCAAACAAGTCTCCCAAATAGCTAAAAGCCTAATCTCTAAGAAAGTCATCAATGGTTACAATATAAGACTCCATCACAAAAGAATCACACCTAAAATCATACTATCCTCAATTGTGTGTACCGCAAGGCTACACAAGAAAAGCCACAATGCTGGATCAAAATCCATATCATGGACAACCAAATCCTCAAAAATACAAGTCTACCACGTAATTCACACATCACAATCCCAATAACCAAGGTCACAAAACCCCATGTATCAGTGCATGAATGACAATATGGTATGAACAACATGAAAGTATAGTTATTTTCGAGTCACATGCTCGCAAGCAACAACCCATGCAATATAGTTATTTTTGAGTAACATTCCCACAAGTAACAATAACCCATGTAATATAGTTATTTCTGAGTCACATACTTGCTGGTAACAACCATGTAATAATTTCATGAACCTATGTCATGATGAAACCCATCAATGAAACACTGAAACAAAATACCAATAGGGGACCAAGTCCCTCCTCATAAGACAATCATATATATATTTGTGATGGCCCAAGTTTTCAAAACTCGGTGCATCAACGAGTAACCCAAAACTGACCTAAAACTGACCCTTTAACGTATCCCAAATGCAGAAACAAAAGTGTTTAAAATGGATAAAGTGAACCACAAAGGGTAAAATGGTCTTTTAAAATAAAACCAGATGCAACCATGTATACCAATGGATAGGCAACAAAAAATTAATAAAGTTAGACTTAAGAATCATCTGATTTGGTGTCCGGATGAAGAAGATATGAAACCTCAAAGTTTTACAAAAAACTTAACAAAAGACTGTGGCCAGTGCGATCGATCGTAAAATTTGGCAGTCGATTGCCAAATCCATGAATGATGGCCAGTGTACAATTTTAAAATTTTAAAAGGGAATGTGCCTAGTGCGATCGATCGCCGAATCCGGCGATCGATCACCGAATCTACGAAGGATGAAAAAGGTGCTCTATGATCCATTGTGACAATCTGCGATCGATTACAGATGTCAGGATCGATTGCCATTGGCCTAGTTGTGATCGTGTAATTTTTGGAAATAACAGTTTTCCAAAGCAAAATCGATTTCATTTGTAAAAACTTTGTGAAACAACCCTCCCTTAAATTGAGTCTCTAATCAACCATAAACAAAAATCAAAATAAAATTCAACATGGAATTCCCAAAATGCACTCAAGAAATGCAATGTCGTAGAAGTTAAAACATAATGAAATCTGTCATACATTCCATTCAACCAAAAGAGATTGGCCCTTGGCCTCATTATATAAATGTTGAAGTATAATCAAAATATGCCATCCAAGCTTACATTACATACCTAAAAAGAAACAAGCCATGCTCCTAACAAGTTATACTTTATAACAACAAAAGAAGGCAAAAACATGACTTGCATGATAATTATACACAAAAGATATCCAAAAGTAACCAAGTCAAGCTAAGGATGTTGTGCATCCTAGAGTAAAGTCTCCTTACCTAAAAAAAACCCAAACAACTAAGGTGAGTAACTTGCATTACTCGTAGGAAGAAACACATACATATACCCTTTAGTTTCAATGGTTCTTTGCAACGTAATATAAACGGTTACATTTGGTATATGCCACCCAATGTCTATGTTCTAAGTGGTACTAAGGGATCATCCTAAGTTACCTTAGAATATTTTAAACATAAACCACAATAAGTGAAGCAATTAAACAACATTGGAATAGCTAACACAAAATAATAAGTTATAACGACTTAATTTAGATAACATTGGAATAACTAATACAAAATGGCAAGTTACAATGATTTGATGTTATCAACTTGAAAAGAAATGTGAAATCAAACAATGTGGATGTACTTGGACATCAAGCCGGATCAAATCCAAATGCATAATAGTTATTTTGGGTTAGTAGCCCGCTGGGAACTACCCTAGTGCGCACGTGTGGGGAGAACTCATATCTCCCACATTAGAGCCGTACTCTAACCATAGTCAAGACAACGATGTCCCAAGTTTCCAAAATCAGCAAATTATAAGCAACATATACTAAGTATACAATGCACTTAACCACTTAACATGCATAACTAAACATGAATACATACGATTCATGACCTAAGTCCTCAATTACAATGGCACTGGAAATGTCAAGTTCTCAATGAATATCATTTCAAGTCACTACAACATTATCAATAAATGAAATCAATTCAAGCTAGTATGAAATGAGTTTCAAATTTATGAATTTATGTGATGGCCCAAGTTTTCAAAACCTTGTGCGTCTGCGAGTGACCCAAAACTGACCTATTATCGGATCCTAATTGCAGAAGCGAAAGAAAGTAACAAGGTCTCTAGAGATGTACATCACCTCTAAGACATCAAAATCGCTTCCCGAGGAGTCCCAAAACTAAATGGAAACAAACGTGGAAGCTAGGGTTTTAAAATAGGACAAGGTG